TATCAGAACTTTCTCCGTGCTTTTTGATGGAGACTAAAATTTTTTGGTATTTTTTTTTTTGCAAAAAAAATTGCTATAAGAAATATTGAATTTTTTTATTTTACCAAGCAAAAAAAAGGTTAACATACAAATTTAAGATTTAAAATTTTTGCAAACGTTTGAACTAGTAAAGAAATCATAACTTTGTATGAAAACTTGTATGTATTTTTACTTAACTGCTCATAACTTCTACATTTAACATTCAATTTAGATAAACGGGGTCTTATTGTTTTTCAAAAAGATCATACTTTGACATAGGAGAAATAAAACGGAAGTAGCCACAATTCGTTATATTGATGTTTGTACCGAAAATAATTGTTTTGAAATTTTGTTAAAAATCATGCCAGAATGTCGATAAATCAATGTATGCCTCCTAAATTGCTTATCCGTTTAAAACTGGCCAACTACATCCAGAGAAAATTGCAATTAAGTGAGTGTACATTTTTTAAGATATCGAAAGCCTGAAATTCGGCAATATCTCAAAAACCGTTTCACTTTCTTGTATTCTGAATTCGTATCGCAATTAGGGGAAAATTTTCCAAAAAAAAATTATATAATATGTTTTATTATTTATTGTTGTTGCCAACTATGTCCAGAAAAAAATTTTAATTAAACCGCCGCCAGGCTCAGAAAATAAGCGGTTGAAATACGCCATTTGCGGAAAAAATGCACCTTGTTTAAAAAATGCAATAAAATTTGGTTTATTGAAAATTTTTTGCAAACTGATACCGGATATGGTAAGCTCAACGATTTATAAATAGTATTTCCTTTTTTAACATTTCTAGCGAAATTGTCCTCAAATGACCATGAAATGATGACGTTAATAATTTGTGTGAGTTAAACTGACTGCGAGTCAGGATTCAGTGACCTCAAAAATGTACAGTGGTTTATTTTAATTTGGAGTTTACAAATTTTTTTGGTGACTACAAAACTTAACAGTGTAACATAAATTTTACAAATGAACTAACCCTTTACAAAATTTCATTAGGAGCATATTATAAAACAAACAGTGGCGAAATTCGGACAATTGGATGTACTGGTGAATAATGCTGGCATAGCCACAACAGGACATATTTTAGATATTGACGTGGATCAATTTGACACAATTTTAAATACTAATTTGCGTGCAGTTTTCCTTTTGACCAAGTTTGCCGCACCACATCTGATCAAAACGCAAGGCAATATCGTAAATGTGTCTAGCATCGCCGGTTTGCGATCATTCCCGAATGTGTCTGTTTATTGTACTTCAAAGGCGGCGCTTGATCAATTTACCAGATGCATTACTCTCGACTTGGCACCACATAATGTGCGCGTTAATGCTGTCAATCCTGGTGTTATAATTACGGATATACATAAGCGTATGGGATTGTCGGCTGAGGAATATGAAAAATATTTGGAACATTGTAAGACGACTCATGCCCCGGGTCGCGTTGGCTATACAAAAGAAGTCGCTGATGGCATTATCTTCTTAGCTAGTAATACATCCAGTTTTATAACCGGCGCAACTTTGCCCATCGATGGAGGGAAGCATGCAATGTGCCCACGTTAAATATGAGATTTGAGTCACGTGAAAGAGAAGAGTTTCGATTGCTGTAAAGTGTTTAATATTTGATTGTGACCTAATTTTAAATAAGTGTGTATGTACTATACCCGTAGCATCTACCGATACATCAGCAGTGATAGGCAATATTTCCGCCTTTGCATTGACAGCCTTGCACGCTGCTTCAGTGGCCTTCAAATTGGCTTCATTGCGTCCGACAATCGCCACTTTAGCTCCATGCTGGGCGAAAGCTTCCGCAGTGGTGGCACCTATACCCGAACTTGCTCCTGTCACAATTACAACTTTACCGGCTAGAGACATTTCGAACTATTCTACTTGAAGATGGAGAATGTACTGAAACAATGACAGCAAATAGCCGCTTGAGTATAACTATCCTTCTAGTTAGTGGTATTCAGCTTAAAATATTTACATATGATAAGAAATCACTAAAAAAGATAACGAGCTTGCACTTAAAAACTGCAGTTATTGCTAATTGATAGAGTGATTTGATTTTCTGCAACCATTACGAAACTACACACATATAGTAGTATATAGTCACGCCATCTTCTCGATTGGTGCTGTAAGTTTGTCTCTCCCACAATTTATCGTATTCCCATATATGCCATACCGTAAACGAGAATAGAGAAAATCTATCTGACCTCTTAGTCAACAGCCGTGATGCTATACACTAGTTTAGGCTAGTGGTTCTCCCCGTTGTGCTATTCACATCCACACCTCTGCCTGCGCCAGGAATCAACCTGTTGCACAGAAAAGGGGTATCCAAGAGAGCGCTGTAAATGTCCAGTAGAAATGGGTTCTTTGAAAGGTCGAGTTTTCTTATAAATAAAATTAGTTCTTAAAAATATTTTGTTCTAAAAAGCCAACCCAGATGATAGAAGAGTATATTAGAAAAAGAATTGTTTATGTTTTATTTTTTGGTGATGGTCGGAAACTGGGCTTGAACCCAGGCTCTGCGGAATGGTAGAACGCACTGCTAACCACTACACCGCATCGGCTGCCTCAACCGGAATAGTACGCTAGCCAAAATTCTATCGGATTACAAAGTTTAAGATCTCAAATGACTGAGATATCCCCCACTGAAATCAGTGTGGCCTTTTGAAAAATCAAGCATTGCGTCTCAACCAACGGTAAATT